TACTAAAAATACAAAAAAAAAAAAAAAAAAAAAAAAAAATTAGTTGGGCGTGGTGGCATGCACCTGTAGTCCCAGCTACTCAGTAGACTGAGGCAGGAGAATCGCTTGAACCCGGGAGGTGGACGTTGTAGTGAGCCGAGATTGCACCACTGCACTCCAGCCTGGGTGACAGAGCAAGACTTCATCTAAAAAAAAAAAAAAAAGTGTTTAGTCATTGACCTTTTGAACCATGAGTGATAAAGGGCAGTGACAGGGAGGACTCGCCATTCTTCCTGTTGGCAGTAGTCTGAGATTTTGCCAGCCAATTCCCAGTTGCAGTGATTTCATAAAGTGACTTAGTAAATTCCATGCAATTATAAGCTAGGGTCACAAATGCAGGAGGTGTGTGTGGTTGCGGTGAGGGTGGTAAATTCAGGGGGAAGTGCTTTTATTGCCTAAATCCTTAACAAATTGAGTAGGAGATACATATGTATGCATGTATATAATTGTAATTTAAGTGGGGGGAACATTGTGGAGATATTTGAGCAGATTAACAAATAGTATTTGTATACATGTAACTAAAACAGTAATTTATCAGGTAGAAGGCAGATGGGGGGAATAAAATGCCAACCTGTATGTGCAGTTGGGTTGTGTTGATGATGAAATGCTGTTTATTCAGGGCCAGCCTAGCTTGTCGGCAACATAAGAGCCACCACAGCACATGACTCCCTGCGTAGCTAGAAGACAATAATAAATTATCTCCTATGCAAACAGCACCGGCATAAAAGCAGAGCAAATACACTCTGCCTCCTGGAATCCCCAAGATTCTCACTCATTCCCTCGTTTAATTCTGTTTTAAACAAGAAACTCTTGATGTTATCCTAAGACCAGTAAGATCGAATCTGGCCTGGACAATTCTGTTAGGGTAGCTGATGAGAATCTGTTTTAGGGTTAATGTAAAATGTATTTTGTTTCTCTGACTTGCCTAGGTGATTGAAATAGTTTTTTGATTTGTCAGCATTTCATTTGGTCCTGTGGAATTTGGGGTCACCCAGAGGAAAACTGAGCTAGAAAACTTGAGGGTCAAGATGAAAATACAGTCTCTGCAGCCAGCCATAATAAAAAGGAATGTGGTCATGTCCTTTGCAGGGACATGGACGAAGCTGGAAGCCATCATCCTCAGCAAACTAACACAGGAACAGAAAACCAAACACCGCATGTTCTCACTGATAAGTGGGAGTTGAACAATGAGAACACATGGACACAGGGAGGGGAAAATCACACACCGGGGCCTGTTGGGGGATAGGAGGGCGAGGGGAGGGAACCTAGAAGACGGGTCCATAGGTGCAGCAAACCACCATGGCACACATAAACCTACGTAACAAACCTGCACGTTCTGCACGTGTATCCCAGACCTTAAAGTAAAATAAAATTTAAAAATTAAACATATCTATACCATCTGAAAAAAAAGAAAAAGAACGTATAGTCCATCCAGTGCCCAACCTGCTAAATGAGAACCTATAGCAAATCAGCCCAGAAATACACACCTAAGGGGACTTTCATGATGAGGTTGCCTTAGGAACAAAGCTGGCAGCATGAGTCAGTGCAAGTCCTGGGACAGTGCTCAGAGGGTCCCAAAGACTGGTTCATAGGAAAATATATGGACTAAGAAATGCCTCTGTGGAGCAGTGCTTTTCAGATTTCAGCGTGCTTTCGAAGTCCTAGGACTGTTGGAAAATGCAGAGCCTGCTTCAGTAGGTCTGGGGTGTTGCCTGAGACTCTGCATGTCCAACAAGATACCTGGTGCTGCCAGTGCTGCTGGACTTGAGTCCAGCAAGGTCCTGGAGCCATCAGTTTAACACCAAAGAATTCAAACAGTTTGGAGATCAGCCGGCATTTTTGAATAGGAAACTTTCCACGAGTGTGGCTTTGAACAGTGATGATCCTACTGATTTCCTAATCTTGTGCTCAGATACAAATAAAACCTGCCCCCTGTTTTAGTGACCCAGCCAAATGTAGTGAGAATTGTTATATGTAAAAATCTCTTAGAAATGTGTTTCTTCTTTTGAGGGTTTATAAATGTATTTGGAAGCCTTTATATACATAGTGAAAAAATATTTGGAAATAAAACTGTAAGCCTTATTGTGCTGAAGCCTTCAGTTACTGGAAATAAGATGCCGTTAGTTGTAGCCTGTTTTTGTTTTTTCTTCAGGGCTATATCTTTTAGAATTTATAATGGCAACAAGTTTAGCACTGAGGTTCTTGATTCATCCTCAATGATGGTTTGAAATAATTTTATATCTTGAACATACTTGAAAACTGTATGGGTTTTGATTATAAAAAAAATCCTGAATATTTGATGTCTACCTCTATGTGGGTAGATAAATTTTTTTTTCTGTGTTTTCTTTTTTCTTTCTTTCTTTTTTTTTTTCTTCTTCTTTTGAGACGAAGTCTCCGTCTGTCTCCCAGGCTGGGGTGCAATCGCACGATCTCAGCTCACTGCAGCCTCTGCCTCCAGAATTCAAGTAGTTCTGCCTTAGCCTCCCGAGTAACTAGGAATACAGGCACCCACCACCATGCCCAGTTAATTTTTGTGTTTTTAGTAGAGACAGGGTTTCACCAGGTTGGCCAGACTGGTCTTGAACTCCTGACCTCAGGTGATCCACCTGCCTCATCCTCCCAAAGTACTTCAGTTACAGGTGTCAGCCATTGCGTCTGGCCAAATTAGTTTTTAAAAAATCTACTTAAAGACTATTATTATGCCAGTTGGAAAATAAATTTTTAAAAAGCATGAAAGCTGACAGTACACACTTTGGAATACACACTTCCAAAAGCATATGTTCTAAAGGCATATGATGCATTTGATCATAAATGTCATTACAATAGATCCTTGATGTTTATTGGCACGAGAATAGGTCCTGAGACCTTTGCAGATTCGCACGTGCAATTCCTTGCAACGTGAAAAGGGAAAATAGCCTGGTAAGGTGCCAGATGAGAGTGGCTGCCTCATGGTAGACAGCAAAGCCTCCTCGAAACGTGGAAGCCAGTGATTGGCGGGGCCTGCCCGCTTGCCTATCTAGGGTCTTGTGTGTCCTGTTCAGGGCCTCACAGACCTTGAGATTCAACTCAGCAGAATTACAGAGTATGGGTATGATGGATATTTGAAGTGACTGGTAAATGGTCTAAGCTACAGATACCCAGTCCACAGTTTCAAAGGACTACCACATAGACATGAACGTGGGCCTGGGGAAGTCTGCAACTCTCTACACTGCGCTGTCCACATCTTCACAGTGGCTGGCTTAGGAGATGTGTGTGGCACTTCCACTTTCTGTGGTACACATTTCTGTGTTGTTTTAGTATCTTACCAGTGGCAGGCATAATTCTGATTGCGATTATAATCAGAAAAAATCAACAGAATTCTTTAAATCCCTTGAGTGCACATCATGGTGTTTTTTATTGAGTGACACAATAGACGGTCAGCTGATGAATGATGTAGTATGATCGTATATGTGCTAGGATAGACATGTATGTGGACTATGAAGATTATGGATTATGTAGCACGGGTTGATTTTGTGTACCTGTCTCTCCAGTCATCCAACAAACCTTTCTCAAACAACTAGTATATGGCAGGCATTATGTTAGGGGCTAGCGTATGTTCTTCACTGTACTTATTTAAGCAAGAGAGATATCGATGCAGACAAAGGGGCTCTCATTGTAATTAAGAAAACTTGAAGATCGACCAGGTGTGGTGGCTTAGGTCTGTAAGCCCAGTACTTGGGAGGACGAAGCTAGCAGATCACTTGACCCCAGGAGTTTGAGACCAGCCTGGGCCAAATGGCAAAACCTCGTGCCTACAAAAAATACAAAAAATTAGCTGGGCATGGTGATGCACACCTGTAGTCCCAGCTACTTGGGAGGCTGAGGTGGGAGGATTGCTTAAGACCGGGAGGCATAGGTTGCAGTGAGCCAATATCACACCATAGCACTCCAGCCTTGGTGACAGATGAGACCCTGTCTCAAAAATACATACATACATAAAAGTAAATAAAACTTGAAGTGGCCAGAACATCTTTTGCAAATGTAAGCCACATCTGGGATTCTGAGATACTGGGATCCCTTTCTGTAGTTATTCATTTCTCCACAGCTGCCACATACAACAAGCAAATCTGACATCACAGGTCTTTAAAAAATCTCTCAGAATTCTAAAATGAAATAAAAATCACCTAGTAAACTCAGCTATGTTCATTCTGAGGAATTTCTGCTTGGAGCTAATAATAATCATTAGAAAAAAAATTACAGGAAGGAATAGGAACTTCCTCCTATTTTTCTTTTCTTTCGTTTTTTGGGTTTTTGTTTTTGTTTTTGAGATGGACTTTTGTTCTTGTTGCTGGAGTACAATGGCGTGATCTCAGCTCACCACAACCTCCGCCTCCCAGGTTCAAGCAATTCTCCTCCCTTAGCCTCCCGAGTAGCTGGGATTATAGGCCTGCACCACCACACCTGGCTAATTTTGTATTTTTAGTAGAGACAAGGTTTCTCCATGTTGGTCAGGCTGGTCTTGAACTCCTGGCCTCAGGTGATATGCCCACCTTGGCCTCCCAAAGTGCTGGGATTAAAGGCATGAGTCACCACGCCTGGAGGCTTCCTTCTGTTTTTCTTGTGATAAATTGTAACAATAGCAGATATTCCTATAGATCCTAAAAGCAATAAAGAGGAAAAACAGGATTTGAAAATTAAGTATCTGAATAAATATTTTAGAAAAAAAATGTTTAGGATATTTGTTCTTTGTCTAAACTATTCTTAATAATGGCAAAAACTCCTTTCTTACATAGTTTGGGCAAATAAACAAGCAAAGTGTATTTAAAATCTTAGCGTGAAAGTTTCTACTCTTTCTCAAAGCAAACCTGCCTTAAGTAATAAATATGTGTCCTAAATACCTCATAAGACTGGACAAATTTGTGGCACAACTCCCCACAACTGGGCAGTCTGACATTAATGTCAAATTCTTGTTGTTGTTTCAGAATTGTCTGTTTCACAGCAATATTACCAGTGACTTGAAAGCATTTACAGACAAGTTTGGTTTTGATGTCCTCATCCTGTTCACCAGCTATCTGTCAGAGGAGCAGCAGCCGAGACGACAGATTGCTGTGTACTCAGAAAACCTGGAGCTGTGCAGTCAGGTGAGCCCCTCCCTTGACCCCGGGCACGTTTCCCTGCGCCCTAACCTGCTGGGTCTCAGAACACACAGTACACGACAGAAGAGATTGGTGGCTTGCGAGCAAGTAGCCCAAGAGAGAGTCCTAGAGGTTTGAGTTTTAGGAAATGTTGGGGGTATTTTGTACATTTGGCCTTTTAAGAAAGCCCTAAAAGCATCTCTCTTCTTGACTGAATCCATAGTGCAAAACATGAGATCTGTCTCACCCCAAAAAGGGTAAGGCCTCCCTGGGGTGCTGTTTTCATCTAGGTTTGCTCCCTGATCATAACTAACAAGGTTTAGCCTTTAGCCTTTAACCAAAAGTCCCCATTTGGTGCCCAGTGTTTAAGAGCTGGTGATCTGATGCTTTAATCAGTTAGTTTGTCTCTAGGTACCAGAACTCTGACTAGGTAATCAATTACCTTCCAGGTCGATAGCGAAGTCTTCTAACCCAAAGCCTAGGAAATTAGAAAGAATTAGATAAAATTAACCAGAGTAGGCCATTGGATATACCAAGCCAGGTGTACTTAATAACTAATATAAGAACATACATGATTCATTATAATCGGAGCCACACGGGCACAGGACGCTTCATGGCACATTTTTCCTCACTAATGGATTCAATGCCTCATGTATCCATGGGCGGCGAGAGGCACAGTCTCTGCCCCTTTCTTTTCTACATCTTCCTTTCTCTCCCCAAGAGCTCCATGGTAGCTCTCGCTCTCCTAACACATGCCTGTGGCTACTCTCGGGCTTTCTCAAATCTGAATGTGAAAGAGCATCTCCTCCTCTGCCCGGCATCACTAGCCTGTGGCTTTTTCAACGCTTTCCTCTGCATTTGGTTTCAAAGCTGAACTTCATCCTCGGTCACTGGCTTCCAGGGACGGGATTTAGGCCTCCGAAGCCTCCAATAGGGCGGTTTTCAAATCACGTTTAGCAGTCGACTCTTTTTCAAACCAATCTGAAAACAGGTTCATTGGAAACAAAGCACACGAGCAGATGACGGAGTTAAAAGCCTTTGAGCTGACCCCAGTCCTCCTCTCTTCTTCCCACCCAGCCTCCCCACCCTAGCAATCACCAGAGGTGGGTCCCTGGAATATTAAGCCACAGAGTCCCGGCTCTGGCCTAGGGAGTCCCTCTGTGTGTGTGTGTGGTCACACCGCTGGCTGAGTCAGCCTTTGCAGCTAGACTGCCGGGTGCAGAACTCAGGCTCCAGCACGGGTTAGCTGTGTGTTGCTGGACAAGTTATTTAATCTTCCTGTGTCTTCATTTCCTTATGAGTAAAATGGGAATAAAATAAGTTCCTACCTTGTGGAATTACTGTGATGATTAAAAGAGATAATAATACAAACCCTGAGAACCATGCCTGGCATATGAAAGCACTCAATAAATGTTAATTATTATTACTACTATGTGAGCTCCATGGTGGTAGCAGTGGTGGTTGTTATTATCGTTGTTTTTTTTTTTTTTTGAGACGGAGTTTCGCTCTTGTTACCCAGGCTGGAGTGCAATGGCGCGATCTCGGCTCACCGCAACCTCCGCCTACTGGTTTCAGGCAATTCTCCTGCCTCAGCCTCCTGAGTAGCTGGGATTACAGGCACGTGCCACCATGCCCAGCTAATTTTTTGTATTTTAGTAGAGACGGGGTTTCACCATGTTGACCAGGATGGTCTCGATCTCTTGACCTCATGATCCACCTGCCTCCCAAAGTGCTAGGATTACAGGCTTGAGCCACCGTGCCTGGCCATTATCATTGTTAATTTTACCTCTGCTGATCCTGTGGGGTCCCTTCAGAGGCCCAGCGTAACAAAATACTCCTGACATTCCCTAAAAATCAGAAAGCTGCAGCCCAGTTCTGGCCTCATACTGACCTTCCATCAGTGTCCCCTTGCCTCCCAGGTTGGCTTTTTCTGTTTCGGGCTTCATGCCTCCGTTTCCTGGGGTGAAAGGGACAGAGGGGTCCTGAGTGCTGTTCGGAAAGGCCAGCTCCTGGGAGCATCTCTGTCTTTCGTACCCTTTCTTTTGCATTCTGAGGGTATCGGAGGTTCAAGCAACCCTGGCCGCCTGCTCCCAAATGAGAGCCTGCCTCCTGAGAATTCCCCTTATTCTAACACTTTTCCTATAGCTGTCAGCAACAAGCATTATTTCTGCTTTTTTGCAACTCGAGTTGTATTCCCGTTGGAAGATGGCATGATGGTACAGTTAGGTAAGAAGTTAAATGGTTTAAACCTCTTTAGCCACAACATTGAGGAGCCATCAAAATCGAGCAGCTGATTTTGAATTAAACAGAGAGACAGTTTGATAGTATTGGAGAAAGGGTTGGTAGAATAGTAATGAGAACTTTTCAAGTTTGAGATCTTCTTTCACGACAGATGAACACAGATTAATTTTACATTTTAAAAGTTAAAAGAGAAATATTACAAAGTGTGACAGTACCTGAGTGATGACCCAAATTCCTGTGCCTTCTGACAGATTTGCTGTGAACTGGAAGAGTGTCAGAACCCTTGCTTAGAACTGGAGCCCTTTGACTGTGGCTGTGATGAGATCCTGGTGTACCAACAAGAGGACCCTTCGGTGACTTGTGATCAGGTGGTTCTTGTTGTCAAGGAAGTCATCAACAGGAGGTGTCCAGAGATGGTCTCCAATAGCCGGACGTCCTCAACAGAAGCTGTGGCAGGCAGTGCCCCCCTCTCCCAGGGGTCTTCCGGGATTATGGAATTGTATGGTTCTGACATAGAGCCACAACCCAGCTCTGTGAATTTCATAGAGAACCCTCCAGATCTCAATGGTTCTAACCAGGCTCAGGTGGATGCCAGCATAGACCTTGTTAGTCCAGACAGCGGACTGGCCACCATTAGGAGCAGCCGCTCATCCAAGGAGAGCTCCGTTTTCCTCAGTGATGACAGCCCCGTGGGAGAAGGTGCTGGGCCTCACCACAGCCTCCTCCCAGGGCTTGACTCCTACAGCCCCATCCCTGAAGGGGCAGTTGCGGAGGAACACGCGTGGTCTGGAGAACATGGTGAACACTTTGACCTCTTCCACTTCGACCCGGCACCCATGGCTTCTGGACAGTCCCAGCAATCTTCTCATTCTGCAGATTACTCCCCAGCAGACGACTTCTTCCCCAACAGCGACCTGTCAGAAGGACAGCTCCCTGCTGGGCCTGAAGGACTTGATGGGATGGGAACCACCGTGTCTAATTATTCATCCAGTTCACTTTTGTCAGGGGCTGGCAAAGATAGCTTTGTGGAATATGATGAGGAGTTTGTCGAGAGACAAGAAAGTCCCAGAGATAACTCTGAAAGAAATTTGAGCCTGACAGATTTTGTGGGAGATGAATCCCCTTCCCCAGAAAGGCTAAAAAACACTGGAAAGAGAATCCCACCAACACCCATGAATAGTCTAGTAGAAAGCTCACCATCCACTGAAGGAGCAGCCTCACTCTATACAGAAGATATGACCCAAGAAGCAACTGACACAGGTCACGTGGGGCCACCTCAGATCCATGCACGGTGCAGCAGCTGGTGGGGTGGTTTGGAAATTGACTCCAAAAATATTGCAGATGCGTGGAGTTCCAGTGAACAGGAATCTCTTTTCCAGAGCCCTGAATCATGGAAAAAGCATAAGACAAGCTCCATTGATAGGAGAGCCTCAGATTCTGTATTTCAACCAAACAGTCTGGAATTCAGAAAGTCAGGTCCCTGGGAGTCTGAATTTGGTCAGCCTGAACTGGACAGCAATGATATTCAAGACCAAAATGAGAAAAGCTTGCCATTCCAGAACCTGCCCATGGAGAAATCACCTTTGCCAAATACATCTCCCCAAGGAACAAACCACCTGATAGAAGACTTTGCTTCCTTGTGGCACTCTGGTCGCTCTCCCACAGCGATGCCGGAGCCCTGGGGAAATCCTACAGATGATGGCGAAGCAGTGGCTGCGGCGCCATTCCCACCGTGGAGTGCGTTTGGTAAAGAAGATCATGCCGAAGCTTTAAAAAATACCTGGAATTTGCACCCAGCGAGTGGCGAGACACCTTCTGTTAGGGACCCGAATGAGTGGGCCATGGCAAAAAGCGGCTTTGCCTTTTCTTCTTCAGAACTACTGGACAATTCACCCAGTGAGATAAATGATGAAGCAGCTCCAGAAATCTGGGCCAAGAGGAACAATGACTCCAGGGATCTTATCTTTGCACCTGGCAATCCCGGTTCTGATCTGGATCACCCATGGATTAATTCTAAGCCACCAAAAGAGGATCAGAATGGCTTAGTGGATCCTAAAACTAGAGGCAAGGTATATGAAAAGGTAGATTCCTGGAACCTGTTTGAGGAGAATATGAAGAAAGGAGGGTCAGATGTCCTAGCTCCTTGGGAAGATTCCTTCTTATCTTACAAATGTTCCGATTACAGTGCATCCAATATAGGAGAAGATTCCGTGCCTTCCCCTTTAGATACCAATTACTCCACCTCAGACTCTTACACATCACCAACATTTGCTGGAGATGAAAAAGAAGCTGAACACAAGCCATTTGCTAAAGAGGAAGGCTTTGAGTCAAAAAATGGTGACTCCACTGCAGAGGAGCCTGAAATTCCTCCTCAGTCACAGCAGCAGCCACCTGGAAATCGAATCACTTCAGGTCCTGGGAACCTAGACATGTGGACTTCACCTCATACAGATAACAGTTCTGAAACAAATGCCACTCATGACCTGGATAAAAATGAACTCAAGACAGAGCACACAGATGGTAAGAATGTCTCCGTGGAGGATGACATGGGGGAAAGCAGCCAGTCGAGTTACGATGACCCCAGCATGATGCAACTGTACAATGAAACAAACCGACAACTCACGCTTTTGCACACCAACTCCCAGCAGACGGCCCCTGACAACCTCGATGTATGGAACAGAGTGATTTTGGAGGATACTCAGTCTACTGCAACGATCTCGGATATGGATAATGATTTGGACTGGGATGACTGCAGCGGGGGTGTGGCAATCCCCAGTGACGGTCAAACAGAGGGATACATGGCTGAAAGTACTGAGCCAGAAACCCGATTTACGGTGAGACAGCTGGAACCCTGGGGCTTGGAGTATCAGGAAGCAAATCAGGTAGATTGGGAGCTCCCTGCCTCTGATGAGCACACCAAGGACAGTGCTCCCAGTGAACACCACACACTGAATGAGAAAAGTGGGCAGTTAATTGCAAACAGTATTTGGGATTCTGTCATGAGAGATAAAGACATGTCATCGTTCATGTTACCAGGCTCGTCACATATCACAGATTCACAGCAAAGTAAATTGCCTCCTGAAATCCCCAGCCATTCAGCAAATGTTAAGGACACTCATTCCCCAGATGCGCCAGTAACCTCTGGAACCAGTGAGTCAGGGGCTCCTGTATCTCATCTTGACGATCAGGACACAGAGAGGGAAACCCTGCAAAGTGATGCAGCATCCTTGGTGACTAGGCTTGAGAATCCAGGCCATTTTGCACACCCAGATCTATGGAAAGGTCATAGCGATGGACAAAGTGAAACTAGGAAGGCAGCCCTGGGAGCCACTGACAGGGGGCACCTTGATGAAGAGGAGGTGATCGCCTCTGGTGTAGAGACTGCCCCAGGGATTCCTGAAAAAGGGCAGAGTGACCAGGAACTGTCTTCTCTGGCTGCATCTGAACATGAAGAAATCTGCGTTAAATCAGGCAAAATCAGCTCCCTTGCGGTCACTTCCAGTCCTCAAACCGAGGAACCAGGGGAAGTTTTGGAGGATGAGAAGGGGCCTTACAGTCTAGACTCCTGTGATGTGCAAACAGCGATGTCCGCAGATAACCTGCAGCCAAAAGATAACTATGAAAATCACCTCATGAGTCATAGAAATTCAGGTGAAACTATTGAGATGACTTCAGATGGGATGGATTTCACAAAATATGTATCTGTTCCTGAGAAGGATCTTGAGAAAACAGAGGAGTGTCACATTCTAGAGCCAGAGACCCTGGGTAGAGGGCCACCTCACAAAGTTCCCCGAAGCCTTGACTTTGGGGATGGCCCTGTAGACAGTGACGTGTCTGTCAGCTGCACAAGTTCTGATGTTAAGGGGACTGAAACTCTTGATGTTAAGGGGACTGAAAATAGCCTTGCAGGAGCTGGTTCATCTGGAAATTTTGACACAGATACTATTTCTAGTGAGTATACTCATTCAAGTGCATCGAGTCCTGAGTTAAATGATTCTTCAGTTGCACTGTCTTCCTGGGGCCAACAACCCAGTTCTGGGTATCAGGAAGAGAACCAAGACAATTGGCATGACCAGCATCGCCAAGAATCTGAGCCAGTTACCACCGATGTCCAAGTAGAAATAGTCACTGAAATGAAGGATTTCGAGGAAAACAGAATAAATGAGTTTGAAAAGAGCTTTGATCACAAAGCTCCTACATTTTTAGAGATCTGGAATGACTCAGTTGATGGTGATTCCTTTTCTTCTTTATCCAGTCCTGAAACAGGCAAATATTTTGAACATTCAGGGACACACCAGGAAAGCAGTCTAATCATTAACTACCAGGAGAAAAATGAACACAAGCTTCCTGAAACTGTGCAGCCAGAGGATGCCAGGGTCATTTCAACAAGCTCAGGGTCTGACGATGAGAGTGTTGGTGGTGAAGAGTCAGCAGAGGAAGAGATCCGTTTGGCCAGCTGCCACGTTGCTCAGGATGAATCCAGAGCTTGGCATTCGTTGAATGAATCTAATAAGTTCTTGGTCACAGCCAATCCTGAGTCTGAAAATATTTCTGACCACCTAGGCAGCTCAGAGCCAGCAGATAATGAGAACAAGGCAAACTCATTCTGTGACAACCAACAAAGCCGCCCTGATCACTGGAATTTCTCACCTTTAACGGAGACTGAAGTACAGATTATAGCAGTGGAGGAGAGGAGAGCTTCTCCAGAAACAGGGAAGACGGGAGATGTTCTGTGGCAAGGAGCTCCCAAAGCTGAACCAAAGAACGAAGATAATTCTCAGCTGGAAATGCTCGGCTTTTCAGCTGATAGCAGTGAGTGGTGGAATGCTTCACCCCAGGAAGGGAGACTAATTGAGAGTCCATTCGAAGGGGAGCTGTCTGACTCCAGTGGCGTGTTGGAGATAAATTCTTCAGTATACCAAAATGCCGGTCCCTGGGGAATACCGGTTCAGGGTGACAGTGAGCCTGTGGAAACACGCTATACTAATCCTTTCAGTGACAACCATCAGTCATCCTTTCTGGAAGATAATGGGAAGAACTCCCATGAGCAACTCTGGAACATTCAACCAAGGCAGCCAGACCCAGATGCCGACAAGTTTAGCCAGCTTGTAACACTGGACCAAATCAAAGAAAAGGACTCAAGAGAGCAACCCTTTGTGTCTGCTGCTGCTGATGAACTGACTTCTGCAACACCTACCCAAGAGCAGTGTCAGGCCACCATGCTTTCGGTCTGTGATCAGCCAGATGCAGCCTTTACTCACACAGAGGAAAATGGTTGTGTTACATCTAACGTTTCAACTAGTGAATGTCAAGAAACAAATCAGTGGAAACAAGAAAAATCACACCTAGATGTGATGACAAATTCGAGCATTGCCACAGAAAATTTCCCTGCTTCCATTTCTCCCACCCAGCTGATAATGAAGTCAGGCTCCGAATGGGATGGCTCTACCCCGAGTGAGGACTCCCGAGGGACCTTTGTGCCAGATATTTTACATGGCAACTTTCAAGAGGGTGGGCAGCTGGCCTCTGCGGCACCTGACTTATGGATGGATGCTAAGAAGCCCTTCAGTTTGAAAGCAGATGGTGAGAATCCTGACATCCTGACGCACTGCCACCGTGACAGCAATTCTCAGGCTTCCAACAGCCCTGATATATGTCACAATTCTGAAGTGAAGCAAGAGACTGAGAAGCATCTCAGTGCTTGCATGGGGCCTGAAGTGGAATCCAGTGAGCTTTGTCTCACTGAGCCAGAGATGGATGAAGAACCCAGTCATGAGGCTGGACGGGAGTTTTTCCCATCCGGTGCAGAACTCAGTTCTGAAAATGCAATCCCTCTGCCTCCTATCGGCAGTCAAGCAGACATTAAGGGCTCCTCTCAGCCTGCCTCTCATAAAGGTTCACCTGAACCTTCTGAAATAAATCGGGATGATAATACAGGTTTACACACATCAGAAAAAGGAGGCAGCCCAGATATGGCACCAATTTTGGAACCAGTTGACAGAACAATCTCAAGGATTGAAAAAGTGGCCACCAGCATTTTTGTAACTCACCAAGGGCCAACTCCAGAAGGTGACAGTTCTTGGATATCAGACAGCTTTTCTCCTGAAAGTCAGCCTGGTGTGAGAGCTTTGTTTGATGATGAGCCACATTTAGCCACAGAGAATCCTGCCATGGTCCCTGATGCTTTGCTAGCCTCAGACACTTGTCTAGATATAAGCGAAACTGCCTTTGACCACAGTTTCAGCGATGCCTCGGGTCTCAACACATCCACGGGAACAATAGATGACATGAGCAAACTGACATTATCTGAAGGCCATCCCGAAACACCAGTTGATGGGGACTTAGGGAAGCAAGATATCTGCTCATCCGAAGCCTCATGGGGTGATTTTGAATACGATATGATGGGCCAGAATATCGATGAAGATTTACTGAGAGAGCCTGAACACTTCCTGTATGGTGGTGACCCTCCTTTGGAGGAAGATTCTCTGAAGCAGTCGCTGGTGCCATACACACCTCCCTTTGATTTGTCCCATCTCACAGAACCTGCTCGGGGTGTTGAAACAGTAGAGGAAGCTGAGTCTTCAGAGGATGAGTCTCTGGGATGCAGAGCAACAGAGATAGTGCTTTCTGCACTCCCTGATCAAAGAAGTGAGGGAAAGCAGGCTGAGACCAAAACTAGCCTGCCTGAATCCCAGCTGGTTGTGCTGCATATTCACGAAGACCCTGAGTCCATTTCTTTGCCTATAGGAACAGGCTCCGAGATTTTGTCTCCATCAAACATCGACTGGGAAGTAGAAACAGATGATTCTGACTCACCAGCAGGTGGAGACATAGGACCACCAAATGGTAAGAAAGAGTCCCCTTTTTTTCCACCTCTAAGAAACTGCTGCGTTGGTTAAACTAGTGCATATTTGTAACACACACTCTTTCTACCAATGAGGGTAGAGCAGAACTAACTACATTTGCGAGGCATGCCTCATCAAGTCCTGTATAACAGCGGTAAAATCTAACACATATGTAATACCTATCCCTGATAGGGCACGAGAAAATCAAATGACTACAAAATATAAATATGTTCTAGCTGGGCACATGCTAGTAGCTCATACCTGTAATCCCAGCATTTTGGGAGGCTGAGGTGGGCGGATCACCTAAGGTCAGGTGTTAAAGACCAGTCTGGCCAGCCTGGTGAAAAACCGTCTCTACTAAAAATACAAAAATTAGCTGGGCATGGTGGCAGGTGCCTGTAATCCCAGCTACTCAGGAGGCTGAGGCAGGACAATCACTGGAACACAGGAGGCGGAGGTTGCAATGAGCCAAGATCATGCCATTACACTCCAGCCTGGGTGACAGAGCAGGACTCTGCCTCAAAACACAAATAAATAAAAATATTAAGTTACCTCTTTTAGATGATCATTTGCAAGGATCACAAATCACATAATGTGTTAATTAAACCTTGTTCTCCTCTTCTCACTTTCAACTTCCACTTCTAGGTGCCGGCAAGGAAATATCAGAATTGGAAGAAGAAAAAATAATTCCTACCAAAGAGCCTGAGCAGATACAATCAGAATACAAGGAAGAAAGATGCACAGAGAGGAATAAAGATCATCATGCATTACACACGGATTACATACTTATAAACCATGAAGAAAATTCACACTCAAAGCCAGAGGTGTGTGAAGAAAGAGAAAGCATGGCTGAATTAGAAGAATCGCACGTAGGTTCCAAAGAAACAGGGCTGCCAGGAACTCAGTCAGCAAGCTTCCCAGACATGTGTCCGCCTGTCTCCTTAAATGAAAGAAAAGGTCTCTGTGCAGAGAGAATGTCTTCTAAAGATGGCAAGAGATCGTCTCTTGAAAGCCCTGTGCAAGACCAGAGTTGGATGCTCTTGGGCCATGGTGAGGTTGGTGATCCATCACTGGATGCCAGGGACTCAGGGCCTGGGTGGTTTGGCAAGACTGCGGAGCCATTCTCTGATCTCAGCTTGGGCGAGGGTCCCCAGCTGCAGGTTCTGGAAGAAATGAAGCTTGCAGAATCTTTAGCACTAGAGGAAGCCTCTGGTCCAGTCAGCCAATCACAGAAGAACAAGAGCCGAGGCAGGGCTGGCCCGGATGCAGTTATGTTGCAGGCTGTCACCCATGACAATGAATGGGAAATGCTTTCACCACAGCCTGCTCAGAAAAACATGATCCCTCACATGGAAATGGAGGAGGAGACAGAGTTCCTTGAGCACAGAACCAGGAAACCAAGACCAAAAGGGTAAGCAAAAAGCTAGATTGATTAGTTTCTTTTTTTCCTGAGAAGGATTTTATTTAGAAACCCGGGAAATGGTTAGAGGTTTTGGAATATGAAGAATACCTGGATGATAGCAGCTTTGCTTATATTTAATGCAAGGCACACCATCAGTAAAAGTGGCTACTAGATAACTATAACCATAATGATGATTTGTGTACATTTGCAGCCAAAAAGCCCCTTCAGTTTTCATTCAGAGTCTGATACCTACCTCCCAACTACCACACCACCTACTTGAATACCTGCATGACTCTTAGGCAGTTGGAAATACAAGAGAGTAACACTAACATTTAACCAGCACCTCCTATGTGTGAGGCAGTTTGCATACATTATCTCATTTAATCCTAACAGGCTGGTGGGGGGAACGGAAGGGGTGGGGTGGAGTAGGGATTCAAGGCTCAGAAAGGTTCTATAACTTGCCTCGATTTAAGTAACCAGAGTGAACACTATGAGATTCAAAGCTTGCCTCCTCCAAAGCCTGTACTTTATCAGTTGGCTCACTGCTTAGCATACGGAAAAGGCATTTTCTGGTTTTATGTAAGCACCTAACTTACTGATGAAGACAGACTCCACAGCAGTCTCCATATCTTAGTGTAAAACATTCATTCCCTAATTGACAGAAATATTGGCAAACTGTAATCAAATCAGTGATTTGTTCATTCATTCACAGATCCATTCATTCATTCACCATCTGGTTTTTGAGAGTTTGCTCTGTGCCATGGTTCTGGGTAGCCAATGGGCATATAGAAGGGAACAGGATGTCATCACTGCCTCAAGCTTCCAGTCTCTGCTGAAACTGTTTAGCATTCTTCATTTCTCTTCATTTGCCTTTATGAAGTCCTCCTACTTCCGGGGACAAAGAACGAATTGTGAAAAGTAACTTAAGTAAAGGGGAAAGTCATGTTTCCTTTTTAAAATGCAGCAGAGAAAAGATAACAGCTGGGTGTGGTGGCTCACGCCTGTAATCCTAGCCCCTTGGGAGGCCAAGGTGAATGGATCACTTGAGATCAGGAGTTCGAGACCAACCTGATCAACGTGGTGAAACCCCATCTCTACTAAAAATACCAAAATTAGCCAAAGATGGTGGTACATGCCTTGCAATCCCAGCTACTTAGGAGGCTGAGACAGGAGAATCCTTTGAACCTGAGAGGTAGAGGTTGCAGTGAGTGAGCCAAGATCGTGCCACTGCACTCCAGCCTGGGCAACAGAGCCAGACTCCGTCTCAAAAAAAATTTTTTTAAGTGAAAAAATATATATATTTTTCCCCTATTTAGCTTGGGAATATAAAGGACTATGCCCACCACATACCCACGGTGAGTCAGGGAATCTGGATTCCAGCCTGGCCCTACCGTGACTGATGATATATTTTAGGATTAACCTCAGGCTTAGGTTTTCTCATCCATAAAATTAGTGAGTTGGGCTGAAAGATCTCAAGCCTTCCTGCGGTATTAAATTCTGGGAACTTAATTTGTGTGGAAATAGAATGTGTCCAGGAGAGCTTTGGCATTCACAAATTACATTTCTTGATGAAAGGAACAAGACCAATGGAAAGAGTAGCTGGGGTATGTTGAGGGTTAGCAAAGTGCCAGAAAGGGTTAAAAGCTCTACCATATTCCAGGGCAGCTTCATAAATTCAGACATTGTCAGCTGGCCTAATCCTTCTTTCTTTCCATCAAGCTCTTTTCTTCCAGAGAGACCCCCAGATCCGTTATCAGAAAGAGAGTAGCAGATGGATCCCAGCAGCCCTGCTGGCATTGTTATAGATTGAGCTCAGAACTCAGGCAGTCAGGAGTTGGCTGAGCTATTGTTTGGCTTCTTGTCTGCGTTTTGCGCATGCCCTGAAACCCAACAGATGATAGTCAGTGTTCAATTGTGCCACCAGCATCTTTTCTTTCAACAAGATTTCTTTGCTCATCTCTTTCTGCTCAGCTTTCGTCCTACTGAAACTTTTCTCACAATGGGGTTGGGGAAGATTTTCCTTCTGGCATGTGTATTATCTTTTGCATAAATAATTGACTCTGAATGTATTTGAATGTCTCCCTCTGTGCCAGATTTTGGGAGCATAAAGAGTTGTCTAAAACCGTGGTTCTCTAAGTGGGGTCCTAAAACAACCACATCAATATCACCCGAGTACTTCTTAGAAATGCAAATTATCTGCCCCAACCCAGACCTCCAAAATTAGGAACTCTGGGGGTGAGGCCCAGCCAGCTGAGCTTCAGCAGCTCCTAATGCACCCCCAAAGCTTGAGAACCACTGGTTTAAAACATACTGTCAGCCCTTGAGGAGTTTATAATTTAATTAAAGAGTTAGATGTAAGTAAAAAGGTAGATAGCAGTGTAATATTTAAGTCAAGAGAGTCCGTAACCGATGTCAGTTTAAATATAAATGGGCACCAATTACAGGCATTGGCTGCCGAGCAGGTACTAAGCACTCTGTGCACTATTTCACTTTACAATGGCAACCTTGTGAGATAAGAATTATATGAGTGAAGAAATAAGAGGAGAGACATCAGTTTCAGGCACCTTTATGGAACGGGCAGCAGGAAAAGCTTATAATCCATCAGACACAGGGAGACGGAGTGCCCAGGGCCCATGATACTTTAAGGAGCCCATGAGAATATTTTCTTTTACAGTCTGAAGAAAAAATGATTATACTTTCACATGGATTGCATTTGTCTTTATACCAACACAGTTGTAAAAGAAATTTTTTAAAAAGTTTTAATGACAGAAGGGGCTTATGGAGGCAGAGTGCCGAGGACCCACGCAACTCATAGTGCAGCTCTGAGAGGTACATTTAAAACAGTGATTAAGGGAAGGCCATAATTTGGAAAGGCAAAGGGGTAAGAAGCTAGCTGAGTGAACTGGGATGAATACAATGAAGGAAGCCATGGAGACAGGAAGGTAATCACAGAAGCAAAACAATGGGACAGCCGTAGTTTCCCAAACAACAACCTGGAAACAGCTTCTGACACATAATCTGATCGTAGAACAGAATATCCAAAATCAAGACCCTTCTGCAAAAAGAAAACGAAGGAAGGCTCTTGTTAAATAGAAAGAGGCTCATAGTATGTGCAATATGACTCACGAGCTGCAAATCAGCTTCTTCCCTCCCCTCCTTCAGCCTCATCTTCTCTCAGCTCCCAGACTGTTTTGAGAGCTGCAAGCCACATTTTCCAAATCTGAGAAAGCATGAGAAAAATGCCTTTTCTCCTCATGTGCCACCTACTGACTCTCGTTGTCGAAACTTGTTACAAGAGCTGAAAGATAACCTGTCTCCCTTGAGATGTGCAGCACTGCATTCACGTTCCGTAGGATCAGTCTTTCCAGGATCCTTTGCCAACCCCTTGGTCACCCTCCAGCTATAGAACTGTCCAGCAGGGGATCAAATACCAGTTCCCCAAGACCATGATGGATGTGCCCGATCTTTCCTACATGGTCACAAAGAACATTTGCAGGGTAATCTGTAGCACACAGACCTTTCTTAAAAGGAAGAAACACTTAGCTGTTTATTTTCAAGAAAGCATGCTCAGGAGAATGATGTGTGAAGAAAGGGTAATTTGGTTACATGTTAGTGTTTCCAGAAAAACAGAACAAATAGGAGATATCTGTATTTGTATTTCCATCTTGCTATCTAGCTAGCTCCTGAGAGAATTTTAAGGAATTGGCTTATGCGATTATGGGGGCTGGCAAGTCTGAAGTCTGTGGGGCAAGCTGGCAGCGGGGAAACTTAAGCAAGAGTCAGTATTGTAGTCGTGAGTGTGAGTTCTGCAGGGCTGCGGGCTGGAAACTCAGGCAGGTTTCTGGGTTGCAGTCTTCAGGAGAATTTCCTTCTTCTTCAGGAAACTTCAGACTGTGCTATGAAGACCTTCATCTGATTGACGAAGGCCCCTCACATTATGGAGGGCAATTTGCTTTACTCAAAGTCTGCCAATTTCAGTGTTAATCGCATCTAAATGATACCTTTACAACGTCTAAACTGGTGTCTGACCAAATAACGGCCCCATAGCCTAGCCAAGTTGAAATGTAAACATTAACTATCACAGGTTATAGTAAAAAACCTGATGTGTGTGTTAAACATGAATTAAGTCATTAAAATTTTAAAACTCACTATCTGAATTATATGAAAATGTGACAATATACAAATATATTGGCTTTCCATAGATATGAGCAAAGAAATAATGTGCAAAGGAATCAAAGAAAATCATTTTCAAGAAGACTGAGAAAACTGATCTTAACTGATGAATCTTTTGGAGATACAGGCAGCCGTAGGGGATGGAGGGAGGGGACGGGGGACTGGCGTGGGGTGGGGTGAGGAGGAGGGGAGGAGAAGAGAGGAAATCATTGTCCCATGTACTCTGGAAACAGTATTTAGACGTAACCTGAGCCTCATATTTGTGAAACCATATCTTATTTCCTAACTCTGTGAAGTGAGGTATTCAGTATTCCCTGAAATAAAGATGACCTTCAAACACAGTGTATTCAGTTCTGTGGTGATCATCTGCATCCTTTCTTTTTAAATTAGTAATTTTTCATCTTTTTCCCCATCTGATAATACTGTAGAAAAGAATTTATCTTTCTGCTTGTGAGTGACACTGTGAGATCTTTTTGTTTTTTGTGAAATCAGGCTTTTTCTGTCTATGACTTATGTTTGGGGAGTTAGTACAATGGACCTTTTATCCACGTGATTGTTGAAAATAAGAAATAGATTTGAGTTGACTCTTTCTCTCAATATTGGGTAGTGGCAACTCTGAGAAGCATCAGGTGGACCAAGCTGTATCCCAATTCCGAATATTTGCCCTTTCCCAGAGGTGAGTTGATGCTCTCTAAACTCCAGTGCGTGCTTGTTTATTCACCGTTTTGGGGCGTTACCCTGTACTAAATCTGGAAGAACAAACTTAGCACTGAGTCTGTGTTCACTGATTTTTGTAATTATATTTGATCCATTGGTGTCGTATGTTGGCGAGTTGG